TGATATAGTCAATGCCTTGAATGCCGATCGCCTAAGAAAAAATAAATAATAAATAAATAAAAATATTTAATTCCTGCGGCTGGAAAACTACAATTGATAGAGTGCTATTTAATTTTTCAGCGCTGAAAGTTGCATTAAGACCAAAACGTGAGTAAATGAAACCACTCACAGCAAAAACATTATCCAATCGGACGATATTCTTCTGATCGTCCGTATATCCCTTCAGGAGCTCTTTGAGACGTTTTTCAGCCAAAAATCCCGATTTGTCCGAGATTCGAGTCAATATGTGCTTTAATACCTTCATGTAGTTGCTGTTATCCTGCAGATTGGAATCTAAAGATTCGCTATCTTGGAAGATGGTTTGGACGGACAGTATTTGTCCTACTGATCTCGACTCTACCGACTTGCCATCTGTGTCGACAAAAATGTATATGAAGCAGACGCAAAGTTTGTAACGCTATTAAATTGCGATTTACATGGGAACAACTTTCTTTGTGATAAGAGGTACTTGAGAGTAGCAAAAAATCAGAAACAAGATCAATTGCTCTACGATAATGCATTTTTACCGTGTAGAAACTCTGCAGGCACATTATTAACAGCCAACCGGTAACTCGGCAATGACTTTTTGTCGACGATAAAGTTCTGTGGTGGGTCCCATTCGAGTCCCATCTGCTGCTCGTAGAGAATTTTATCGGTGTCCAGAATTTTCTTCAAAACTGCCAAAGTGCGGTTTTTATTCATTTCCCATAGCATGTGGAACTTCTCGTCGTTTACGTGGGCAAAGTGGTCAGCTTTGGCTTCCACCTGTGGAAAATTCCTGGTTTGTTCAACTCTAATAATCAAACATTAAGTGCTTACATCAATGATGGATTTATGCAACTTCTTAATACTCTCGGACAGTTTTTTAATTTTATTTGACATGCGGGATTCGTACTCAGAAATTTTCGTTCTCAGGCCGTTGATCACGTCTTGCAATTTGTTCATTCTCCTCTTCTGCTGGGATTTTATTATAATGTTTTCATCCTCCCTCTTTTTAAGGATCTGATAGTTATAATCCAGCTTCTCACTGTTAAGCAATGCCAGAGCTTTGATTTTCTCCAATTCCCGTTGAAGCTCTTCTATGTCGTTCTCCAACTTAATCTTGGTCTCCCTAAAATGCTCCTACACTTTTTTTGAAGAAGACTCCAAGTTTCACTGATCTATCAAACCTGAAAGTCCATTCGCAGTGACTCCATTCTTTGATCAAACTCCTCAACTTGCTCAAACTTTGCCTTGCTATTGGATATTTCTTGATTTTCACGCTTTCTAAATAACTCTTCCCATTTCTTATCGGTCACTTCAATTAGCGCTTCTCTCTCATGCTGTATTACATTTTCCAGTATATTGAGCTCTTCTCGATATGCGCGTCTCATAAACGATATCTGCATCAGTTGAGCATGTATGGTTCAACTAGTCTCAAGTATTAGTATTCCAAGGTTAAACCCTTGGTTAAAGGACCGAACTTACCTGCTTTTCAATTCTTTGTGATAGAGTGTTGACATCTTCCATTTGTTTTCTTTGATCTTTAGCGAATTGTTTGTCAGCATTTCGCAGCTCCTCATTCAACATCGCAATTATTCCATCCTTTTGACTGATCAACAAGTCACATTTCTCCTTTTGCTCCATTATAGCTTCGTTTATTTGCAGAGGATCGTTTTGGCGTTGAATTGACTGCAAATTTTCTTTTATTGGGGGTTTTTGCACTAAAATATCTTGGCAAACAGGCGAGTTTCTACTCATTTTATTCACTGGTTCTCAGTATAATTTTATTTAATGATCATTACCGCCCATTTGTTGGCAATGTTGTTGAAAAGCTCACTAGCGGCCTGCGCTTCTTCATCTAATTGTTCGTAAATCTTTTCTTTGTTTAATCCTTCTGATTCCCTTCTGTCCACTTCTCTGGAATCATTCGCCACTCGAACGTTCGTAATATATTCTTCACCTGTAAGGAGCCAGTGAAATTTTGCTTATTTGTTAATTTGAAAAAAAATGCATTGCACGGATTTGTGAAATAAAATATAACTTGGATGGGTCAAGGAAGCCTGTAAAAGACAACATGTTTTAATTTACCTTCTATTAGAAACTTTTCCAATAATTCCGCGCTTTTCTTTAACTGAATTTGTATCTCGTTAAATTCCTCGTCGCCTTGCACCAGTTTGTCTACCTGTTGAACACTTTGCTTGCTACAACAATAATATTGTAAGCACATATACAACGAAGACTAATTCCGAATAAACAAGACGGATTTTAACTGGAAAAACAAAAATTTCCAGTCTTCTTAACTGTTGTGGAACTTTTGAGTGAGTGCGTAAAATGGTGTTCAAATTTTGCCATATAAGTTAACATTTGAATTTTTAATTGACCCGAATCCAACCGGAAATCTACGGTGAAATGCATTCGTTAATAATTTTGCAAGCAACTTTTGAACTCATTTTTTCGTACTTGAGTCACCGTGTATATTTTGGAACTGAAAAACTGATAATTTTAACATTCTATTCCTGTAATAAATTAAAAAATCAAACCTTTTCTTCAACGCTTCCCATCTGCGCTCAATTCTTAACCGCCTGGCCAGCTTGCGCTCATTCGGATCAGAAGAAGTAACTTGCGGTTCAAGATCTTCAATAATTTCAGTACTTCTTCTTGAAGACATTTTAGCGTGACAATTAAATACGAAAACTGTTTAAGTTACTCTATCGTAGCGCAATAAAATAAATTCGATCAATCAAATTTCTAAGCTCGCCATAGCAACCAACCAATCCCGTCCCAAAATTATACACCAGAAGGCCAATAAAATCGGTAATTTAATGAAATGATAACTAATTATTAATTTGAATAGGTAGAAGTTTTATGCATGTAGGAAATATCTCCAGATATGCAAGTGCTCATTTGGTGCGTGCGTGGCTGAGGTGTGCGGATGCTAATCGAATTCGCCTCCCGGCACAAGCTGACAACGCTTAACTCCGCTGGCAACTCTGTAGGTTTTCATTTGTTGACGTTTTTGACAAAACCGATTAGCATTTCTTCGATAAAAGTGACAATGGCGGTAGGTACTAATTTTTATTTTTGATTTCTATTCTTAATTCATCTTATTAAATTAACTGGGAAAATTGTGAAATTTATCATGGAAAACGAGAAAGTATTTCGACCTATTTATTCTATTTCATATTTTTTCGCTGGGACTTAGGGTATTTTGTCAAATTACATGTTTTTACGTGTAGTGTAGAAACTAAAACTAGCTATTTTGTGGTTGATTTCCTAAACCACATAAAATCACATGTTTTTTTAACAATTTAGATGAGAAACTACGTTTCTTAAGGTGCAACTAGATTACATTTGTTGCAAAAAATCTAACCTAAAATGTTGCTTTTATTGCAGCCCGTTGCTAAAACGACCAAAAAGGAGAGGAAGGAAGTGAAGGATAAGTCCAAAAATGTAATGCGGGACTTGCACATTCGAAAACTTTGCCTAAACATCTGTGTAGGCGAAAGTGGAGACAGGCTTACCAGAGCAGCCAAGGTAAGAGCTTTACCAGCCGATTTCTCTGGAAAACTGAACTTGGGCTGGCTGCTTTTGCATATTTACATGAGTTCATTCTCTCCAGGTACTGGAACAGCTTACCGGTCAACAGCCTGTGTTTTCAAAGGCCAGATTGACTGTCAGGTCCTTCGGCATTCGTCGTAATGAAAAAATTGCGGTTCACTGTACCATTAGAGGTGCCAAGGCAGAAGAAATCTTAGAAAGGGGCTTGAAAGTTCGAGAATACGAGTTGCGAAGGAACAATTTCTCAGGTATGTCTATTTTGTAAAGTTGAGCTTTTAAACTTGTTTTTATACTAGAGCGTTTATTAAAGTAAATTCTATATTCTCCAATTATCAAAGACATGATGTTTTGGCTATTTTTGTAGTCTGAGGTAAAACCTTTTATTTTTTCGGATTTTCGTCCAATTATCGAGATTCCTGTATTTTTCTGTTGTGGGCTTCAAAATCTAAATTACCTAAAAATGTTTTTTTATGTCTTAAGCATCCGGAAACTTTGGGTTTGGTATCCAAGAGCATATCGACTTGGGTATTAAATATGACCCCAGCATAGGAATTTACGGTTTGGACTTCTACGTCGTGTTGGGAAGACCCGGATTCAATGTAGCACATAGAAGGAGGAAACAAGGTAAAGTTGGTTTCCCCCACCGACTTACTAAGGAGGACGCTATGAAATGGTTCCAACAGAAGTATGACGGAATCATTTTGGGTAGCAAAAAATAAGTTAATAAACTTATAAAGTTTTGCTGAGCAATTATATTATTTTTTGTCTTTCAAATGACCGCAATTACCAACATCCTTCCGTTTCCTACATTGACATGTTGTCTTTTCCGTTATTTCGTTAACAAAGTCCTGTTTAGTGGTGTGTCGTTCAGTGCAAACTTCTCATTTAATTGTGCTTAAAGAGTTAACAGCGGTTATTTCAGTGTAGTTCTCTCATATGCAACAGTTTTTGAAATTACATTTCCTAAGTGCCGGTCACTTTCCAATTAAAGGTTAACCTATGAATTGTTCTTAGTGAAGTTCTATAGAAACTTACGAAGGTTTGTTTCGGTTTTTGCCCAAAGTGATTAACAGCGGACATGTCCAACAAATTTATTTTGTTTGTTTAGGGTCACTCGCTAACTTTAAGCCACTTACAGTTTGAGCCCATATAACAACGCCACGTATAATACATCGAATATTTGAACACAATTATTATATTTAGAAACATACATATACCTATGGTTCGCCAGAGTCCAGCCTCCCCCAGAGCGCTAAAAGCGCACAGTTGAAAAAATATTCCTCAGTATCCCCCAACTCATTACAAGATCTCATGATTCTTCGAACGAGTGAAAACTTCGACACGTCGATTCTACACGTTCGAAGGTAAAAGGTGTCAGTGTCTTGAGGTCATCGAGGAAAATCAATCAATCGAAAGGCAACTCTTATCTGAAGTTCTATTATTTTCAACCCAAGATCGCTACATTTAATTTAATTGTTCGAACAAAATTTCCTATTATTTTTGTGTTATAGTTGTCACCCAGAAAGTGGACTTTCCGAAGATATATTTAACATTTTTATGCATATTCATTTTTAATTAACTCGGCAGCTTTTTCCCCGACCATCATTACAGGTGTACTCGTGTGGCCCGAAATAGGATAAGGAAATACTCCAGCGTCTACCACTCGTAAATTGCTGATTCCATGAACTTTGAGTTCTGAACTCACTACGGAAGTTTCCGAGTTATTTCCCATTCTGGTGGTTCCCACCGCATGAAGACCCTGAAAATCATTATTTTCATTCTTTTAATCTATTAGGAGTATTTTTAATTCTGTACAGTGTTGTTACAGCCTGGAGTCATCGGAATATCTCGTGAACCGTCGCTTTCTTTGTTACAAAGTAAATCTTTTTTTATACACTTACGGCAGTTGTAAGATATTGAATGCTGCAAATCCACCAGTCTTTTGAAAGCTTTTCATAATCTGCATCACAATCTGGAAGATCTAAAATGATGGGTTCGATTCCCAAACGTTGAAATGCTGTCGTGTTTTCTAAATTTCTAACAATTTCCACTGCTTTGTACAACGTTTCTAAGTCGTCGGAATCAGAAAAATACTTCGGGTTAATCGAAGGAAAATCTCTGGGATCTGCTGATGCTAAAGTGATTTCTCCAACAGATTTCGGTTGCAATAATGTTAAAGGCAGACTAATGTCCGTATATGTGTTCAAAACATCAAATACAGCCGTGTATGATGCATTTGTGTACCTTAAACGTTGTGATGTTTGATATTTAACATGCTTTTTCTATTTCCATAAAAACTTACATTTCTCCGTGGGTGGGGCCATTACTTGGAGGCCCCGAAAGCAATACTTCGATATCCGCCGCCTCACTTGTGTTTCCGTTAACATTGTAGAATGTTATTGCTTGAAATGATTCAGCAATCGTAAGTGGCCGTTTTTTGTTATCCCATAATTCCAAATTTTCTAACATGGTATTGTTATAAAACGTATAGTTGGACCTGGAATCATTGTTAAGATTTCAACTCGCACTACATGATTTTTACAGACCAGTCAAATTTTGGCTTTTTAAGGTTCTACTGTTTTATGCTATGCATTAAAGAAGAATAGCTTAAAAAGTATATGGCATATTTAAAGTGGAACGAAAAATAAAAGAACATTTTATAGGCAGTTAAACTGGTTAAATCTGCAGTCAGCTAGTTAAAATAGCCAGTTAAACCTGAAAAACTGGGTAGTTTTAATTAAATTTGTAAATTATACACCGAAATACAATGCAATAGAAATGGCTATATTTTATCAGCCGTCCGAGCAGCTCAGAAAGCTAAAACGAAGAATACTGGTTTTCAACTGTGAGAAACGCCAGCTGACCGTTCGAATTTCCTTCGAAAAAACGCCAGACCTGACAAAAGCAATAACCAAACCAATGAATTGTGACAAGAAACGGTACTTAAAATTTATTTTTGAAAAAGTCGATATGGATAAAAGTCGTGGTGGTGCAAAAACTGTGAAAACTAAACCAATTTTTATAGACCTGAACATCTAACGTGCTGTTGGATGAGCTCGTCTTAATATCACTCTTTTGAGCCGTCGGGTTTTCTTCCCCAATGCATAGCCACATACAGGTAAAAAAGCCCTTAAATGATATCGATT